AATCAGAAAAGTCGGCAGTTCGGCGGTTCGAATCCCTAGTACAGGTCTCCTGCATGAACAGCGGGTTGGACTATATGACCTCCAAGGTCCCTTCCAACTCTGTTACTGTTACCTAATGCAACTATATGAAACCATATGAGTAACCTGGATATATTGTACCCTATTTGGCCCTTGAAGTGGCAATGCTAACTAGAAGAAAGACTAACCTTAGCAATCAGCCAGAGAAATTTGTCTAGAAAAAGCTGGAGAAAAAAGAAATGTGTTCTATCTTTAGCATTAAGAGAAGGAATTGTTTAAGGAGTTGACTGTAAGAATATGCAGATCGCCCTTATATAATTAATAAAAGGAACATTGTTACTTATTTGAATTCCCTTAATTGGTTGTTACCTTATTGTTATTTCTGGTTATAATGCTTGAAAACTGATCAATTTTCTCCCTCTAGTTTATTTGTGCTACATAAAAAAATCCTGTCTTATGCTTGGGAATGAACTGAAATTCAGATCACGTATCTATATTTAAAATGATATGAAGGGACTTCTCTTTTCTGCAATGCACCATGATGCTCATGTCTCCCTCTTCACTTCACCCCACATTAACATCTTTCCAGAACAGATCTGAGAAACTGAAGAAAGAAGAGAAACCTGTTTTACCCAGGCAGATCCTATTCCATTCATGGAATTGGGCCATCCAAATACACCACTGGATGCAGCCCCTGCAAGCATAGCAATTTGGACAGAAACACATTTTATTAAGTCTGATGCAATGTTAGCAATCTGGGTGCTCCTAGACCAGTTCTGCATACACAATTAAATACAATTAAGCAAGAGCCTGTTTGATCTCTGGATAGTTTTTCATTTCGTACACCTTAGCTTTAAGGCTGAATGATATAATGCTACTTTGTTTTAATGTTAGGTACTATAATTGTGCCATTTAAAAAACTTCGATTTTACTTGTTAAAACATTAAATTTGAAATACAGTCCAGAAGTTACTGTTTGTGTTGTTAATTCCCTACAGCTGATATAATTGTGCATTAACCACAACAATGGCTATAGTACACAATGATGTCACACAAGAAATACGGCTTCGGATGCATACTCACTTATCTGATCAGCACGGCACCCTTGACATAAAAATGAATTACTTTTCCATAAATACATTCAGTGACTACCTTTAGGAATTCTGCCTATATGAACTATTAAAATACTTTTTATGTTGTATTACTGTTTCAATACAGGTCACATATCTTGGAATCTGATTCAGTTGGTTTTGATTTTCAAATCTTGGCAGATAATTTATTTACAACATTTGTATTCTGCCTATGAGTACAATAATAGGCTCATAGCATATATAGTCGTAGAAGTAATGAAGTATGTTCTTAGGAGTTCCTGCCCATCATCCACATTGAATAGTTGGAATCTAAAGCTTGTTGATTGTCGATATAGTAGCTTGGTTGATTATATAAATGATGAAACAAACAATCAAACTTAGGCATGAAGATTAATGTCCAATTTTGAACCAGTTGCTATCACATAAACTAAGCTGCCTTAGAAACCATGTTTAAATGTTTTAAAATCATGTTTACTGTCCTGAAAGGAAATGATAAAAAATAAGAATAGAACATCAAGAATCTCTATTATTTTCTTAATATAGACCTATATCTTCCTCGTCATTGGGTTGTGAGACACTTCATTAGAAAAATATGGAGAGCAAAATTAATAGTGCAAACCTAAGTATAAAAATTATTCATAGAAAATGTATTTATAGGGCTGTTTTCCTAATCCTGACAATAAATCCTGTAACTTCCTAGTATTTTTGGTTTCAATACATTTGGAGAATATAGCTATCCAAGAGCCTGGATAGCTCAGCAGACTAATGCATTGTAATTTAACTCCAGCTGTCTGCAATTAGTAAGTTCGAATCTTGCCAGGCTCAAGGTTGACTCAGCCTTCCATCCTTTCTAAGGTAGGTAAATTGAGGATCCAGTTTGTGGGGCCAATAAGCTGACTTTGTAAAATATGCAAAAGTATGAGGGCTATTGCTTAACGCATTGTAAGCCGCCCTGAGTCTCCGGAGAAGGGCGGCATATAAATTGAATTTAAAAAAAATATATCAAGAAGGGTAAAGATTTTAGCATAGGTTGGTGTAGGTTCTACAAATGTGATCATATAAAAACAAAATTCTTCATTAAAAGACAATTCTTATGGAGACTTTAGCAAACTTAGATATTAAAAGTATACACATCCAAGTTTAATGCAAAAAATATCTTAGAACAATGAGATATCTAAAAGCTTCCCAATCAACGAGGGCAAGAACAGAATAAGTTCAGCATAGGTATGTATTATACATATATAAAATTATTTTGTATATAAAAGTAAAACTGCATTCATTCCATCACACTTACATACACACATACAAACAAAGTTGCCTCAATACACCAATTTAGTATTTAGGTATAATATTTTGTGTCTCCAGTTTGTACTCTTAAACTCCTGAAGGTAACTTATAATCTTCAGTATTTGCATTGGCACCCAGTCAAAAGCCAGAAATATATTTAAGATTGAGTTTTCCAGATATTATCTAAAGTAATTTAAAAGTTCATTACGGGCCATTCACTAGACCTGCTACAATCAAGGTCTGTCAGCAGAGTTCAGTGACTACAACTAAGGCATTAAAAAGAAGAACACTTTGTCGGTTAATATTTGACATTCAGACTTAAAGGCCAGGAGCAAATTGTTTTAACAAATTTAAAAATACATTTGGCTGTTACTATATATGGTCTAAAGTGTTTTTTTAATATTAAAAAAAATTGTATGAAACTATTTTTAGTAAAGAGCAAGTCTCAAAAGATGGATGATGTTTATATAAACTGAAGGCTAACTCTGATTTATAGTTACTACCCTTAAATCCACTGAGATAAAGAAAGTAATGAGAATTTTTCAGTAGAAAAATGTATAAATTGAGATTGGATTTAATTTTGCAATTTATTTTCAAAGCTGATGTTCATAGGTAAATCGGTTTTACTGTTATTCTAGAATTGTAAAGTCTAATAATACCTACATGGCTTCAGTATTAATAATCTTCATAATATAGGCTTATCTTAATAATGCCATTATAGAGCAGAGTCTCAAATAGGAACATCTGCACGTCAAGTCAAAATTTGGAGGAGAAATCCTGTGTCCGCATCTTTTGACAATCAAGTGTGTTGCAAACAGCCAGTATTCAATCACCATGAATGGCAAATGAAATCTCCTTTATTAGCTAGACCCAAAGCAGTCATACTTAGACGTTTTCATACACAATTGCAAGAAACTGAAAAGTACTATAGCATGCCATTTAAAAAATGAATTATTAAATTTTTTAAAAAGTCTTTACTGTGAAACAAAGCAAGTTTTTTGCCATCTCACTTACTCCACTTATGTTCCAGTAATGGTTATCCCATGACCCTTTGAGATGCTGTTAATTTGAAGTCGGCTGGGTGGCAAATAGCTTTTGGGGAATGATTCGGCAGCAAAGCTGTTAACGGTGCATAATAAACTGCAGTGTAAATGGGGGCCTGTGTGAGACCTCATGAATTATTGTAAATAAAAATGTTGCTAGAGACAAGTGATTTATTTTGAAGCACACCAGCTTACTTTTTAAAGGAAGGAAATTGAAGGAAAAAGTTAAAAGAAGGTTGACTAGAAAATTGGATATATTTCTTTCAATTAATCAACACAGCTACTATATATCAATAACTCCCATGGCACTCTGTAGATCCACTCTCCAAAGCCTTTAATTACCTACAACGTCCCTGATGAGCCTTTGAGAAGTTGCTTCCTGGCTTTGAAGAACAGAACCAAAATGAGGACCTTGACTGGAATGATTGGCAGAAGCCAATGTTCATTATACCTCTGGTGTGCTTTGGTTCTTTCAAAGTTGCATGTATAGGGCTATGTTTTTATAGTCAAGTATGGTAAGGAAAGAAAACTAATATATATAGAGAGAGGCCCATCATAGAATTGCTTTCAAGATACGCAATGTTACCTTGAACCAGAAAAGGAATAGCATAGGAAACAAGTGAATGGCATGAGAAGAAATGTTGCAGCATCCCACCAGCTAGGAGGCACATACAGTAATATCAGCGCATATTCAGAATGCAGAAAACCTGATATTTATCCTCTTTACAACCTAAAACATCTAAGTCACCATCTCTAAAGCCTAATCCATTTCCACATAGTATAGAAAACAAATTAATCTGAATCTCTGAACTATCATTTGTTAAATGTAGGTTTCTGTGGAAATTGTAATATGCAATCTGGTTTATGCTATATTTGCTACTGATTTTTTAAAAATTATTTGAAGAATCCAGTGAAAAATGCTTAATTACAGGTAGTACTCAACTTACGGCCACAATTGAGTCCAAAATTTCTGTTGTTAAGTGAGACATTTGTTAAGTGAGTTTTGCCCCATTTTATGACCTTTCTTGCCACAGTTGTTAAGTAAGCAACTTGCAGTTGATAAGTTAGTAACTCGGTTGTTAAGTGAATCTGGCTTCCCCATTGACTTTGCTTGTCAAACGTTTGCAAAAGGTGATCATATGACCTTGGGACACAGCAGCAGTCAAGAATATGAATCAGTTGCCAAGCATCTGAATTTTGACCACAGAGATGCTACAAGGGTTGTAACTGAAAAATAGTCATAAGTCCAAAAATGGTCATAAGTCACTTTTTTCAGTAGTGTTGTAACTTTGAACGGTCACTAAATGAACTGTTGTAAGGTGAGGACTACCTGTATTTAGAATTTTTCCCAAGTTAAAACTATAATAAAGTCTCTGCTTTGTATATGCTTTAGTAAAATGTTATCCTCTCTTATATAGATAAGCTCCCTTTGATTTTATTGCTAGATTTATGTTGCAACAGATCTTTAGTTGCTTTTTAGAGACACTAATTTGATCCTGGCGAATAATGTGCAGAGACATGTAGTTGCCTCAGCTAACTCCTTTTCTTTGTGCATTTGGCAGATTATTTCTTAACGCTTGATGAGCCAATGAACAATATCACCACTACCCTGGGTCAGACCGCAGAACTGCATTGTAAGGTTTCTGGTAACCCTTCTCCGACTGTGCGTTGGTTGAAAAATGACGCTCCTGTTGTGCAGGAACCCAGGAGGATATCCTTTCGTGCCACAGCTTATGGGTCCCGATTACGAATAAAAAACCTCGATACCACAGACACCGGTTATTTTCAGTGTGTGGCGACAAATGGCAGGAAAACAGTCTCTACAACTGGGGTGTTATTTGTGAAATTTGGTAAGAAGCTGCTGCTACTACGCATGGAAAGATTGGTTTTAACACACATTGCCTAGTTCTTTGTGTTAATGTCATTTATGGTGACATTATGGTGAAAGGGGAATAGGTCAGAGAGTTTTCTGTCCCATCTTAACCAAAGTAGTCTTTCTTTTGAGAATAACAATTCGGTTCTTTGTTCACATTGCTAATTTTCAGACAACAGCTTTAGCCAAACATTTTAATGCTCCTATTTGCAATATAAATATGTTCTAATATGTAATGAATAATCATTTTTAAATAATCCGTAAAGGAAGCAGGGGCAGTTTTACTATGAAGGGCCAAAGTGAACATTATGGAGTATATTTAACTGAAAGAAAAACAAAGTGCTTTTTAAAAAATTCCCGTTAAAATGGAAGTATGGTATTCATTGAGAAAGGTTGATTTCCAGCTTGGAGACAAGATTTTCATAAGCGTTTGTTTGCGTAGTGGAAAGATTAAACACGTTGCCATTGTGATTCTTCATAGCCCCAGTCTCCTATAATTTAATATTTTAAATAACAAAAACATGTGCCTTCAATGGAAAAACTAAAACAAGGAAATAGGTATTAAAGCCAAAGTAAATTATGAGGTGGAAAACTAAGGACCCTTTCCTCAAATGTTGTCACATAATGAGCTGTGGAATGCGAGCCTTCTCCATAGCTGCCCTGGGCCTTTGGAATAGCTTCCCACCTGAGATCCAGAGGTGTTCCATAAAGCTGTAAAGACCTGACTTTTTCCTCAAGCTTTGGCCTAGGATAGTGGGTTTACATTATGTGTTGTTGTTCTGATGTCCTGACGGGGAGGTCATGATATGTTTTTATATTGTGTTTTTTAATTGGTTGCTATGAACTTCCCAGTAGGCAGTACAATAAGTTCTTTAAATAAACAAAAATTTTAATTAGATGATCTCTTAAGGTAGAGGGTTGTTTATAAGGGCAGAATGTTATTATATAATATATAATGTGTTATAATCCTTGCTTTCATTTTAGAAATTTAGATAATAAAATAACGTAGTAGTTGATGGAAGTGAATTTTCTTTTCTATGGCAGTGCATTTTACACATTTTTTTTCTCTCCCAAACCTTATTTCTCTAGGTCCACCTCCAACAGCAAGCCCAGGAACATCGTGAGTTTATTAATCATTTTATTAACTGATTAATACCATACTTTAAATCAATATTTAAAAGTAGAATTGTTCAAAAATTATAAATGATATTCTAAATTAGAGATATATTACTATTGAATGTATGTGAATTGAATGCAATACAGTTTTATTTCTTTTATCTGTATTTATTGTAGGAACCAGGTCTATATTTTTTAAAAAAATTACAGGTGTACATAGACCCAGAGGTACCCTACAAAGAGTTCTGTAGTCATTCTCACCTCTCATCTCTTCTTAGTTGAACCAGGCAGCTTCTCCATTTCCATAATTCCTCATCCATCCTAAATGCTTGCCTCTGAGAAAGTTAGCATTTCTATCACACAGGATTTGGTCAAAAGTGATTGACTGAAGATTTTGTCATTAAACAGGATAGGCAAAGCAAAGATCTTGCCTCAAATCCCCAGTGGGGATAAGCTGGCTCACAAAATGCTACTTTGAATGGTTTGCAGATCCCTCTGCTGGATATAAAGCTAACAAATTAAATAATTGGGCTAGGTGTATTGGCTGCTTTGTAGTTCAAGGTCTCAAACTAGCAAGACAAGGTTTATATAATATATATATTACTCATGAAGAATGAAAAACTTTCTAGAAATATTTTCCCCCTAACTATATGAACTTTATAGTTCATATTTACATCTATTTTGGAGCAGTAAGAACATTTTTTTAAGCTTCAGAAGGCTATTTCTTTTTGCTGTTTCTTCATTCTTGAAGAAAAGATTTCAAAGGGGGAGTTTAATGTGATAATTGTTTTTTCTCAGCTTGGATTTCATTCTACTAAAGGTGTTAATTAATTCAGCAACAACAGGATGTTTGTGTTATCAGCAACACTGGTTTGTTATTAGTCATTTACAATTTAACTTAATTAGCACAATCTACACTTTTGTGCTTTACCACCTTCTCATCTTGCTATTTTTGTTTTTCCAAACATATATGTTTGTGTATGTGTGTGTTTATGCGTGGGCGCGTATGTGCATGCCCACAAGTTCATGTAAAGTCTAACAAAGCAAAGACTTCTGTAAAATATGATACAGCTCTTAAAATATAAATCTGATATCAACTATTGTAATAATGCAACACATAACTATTATTAAAATCTAAAATAGATATAATTTTATATCAGTTGAGTCAGTTTTTGCATATCTTACTATTTGTTTCTCTAGCATTTTAGTTGATGTTGACTAAACATTTTATTAGCACTGAAGCCAATAGAAGAAGTCAGGAAATGAACTAATTGTATTAAATTATAAATTAAATATTACCTACATTTAGATAATACATACTACACAGAACTGGGAGAAAAATAGATCAGACTGTCACATAGCACACAAAAGACAGAAATGGATCTGGAAGATAGTTATCAGATAATGTGTTAGATCATTAATACATGGTCCCCTTTTCATTAGTAACATGAACTCATTTTTATAGATTTTTTTATTTAGACTTAGAATAACTTTATTGTTACTTTAAATGTACACTAATCGGCATACATTAAAATGAAATTTTATTGCATACAATAAAAGGGTCACTACCTCCAATATACACTACATAAACATGACAAAAATATAAATAAATAAATAAATAAATAAATAAATAAATAAATAAATAAATAAATAAATAATAAAAATGAATATACCGACATATATTTATTTTTATTCTATTAAATGGCCGGCAATCTCACCTAAGCAATTCTGGGCATGACCACTGTTAAAAACATAAGAATTAAAAGAAAATAAAGATATATACTTATAAAAACTGAGATAGTTTTTATCTTCTGAATGTATTTTGCTGTTGTATCCCTGCCATAGCACACTTTCCTGATTGTACTTTCACTTTCTGATGCACTAACATTTGAATATTTATTTATAATACAAGGGAAATTGGGTAATTAGAGTGGTTTATATAGGATTGGTTGAAATTTAGGATTACTCTGTACGTTTTCCAGACTGATCCTGTATTTCTTTACTACAAAGCAGTACTGTATGTATCTCTTACTTTCAGAAGTAAGAAAGAAATGACTGAAGCCTTTTTTGTGATTCCTCCAGCATGATAAAATCTTCTTCAATAGTAATCCATTATTTGGTATCTGTTGGAATCTAAGGTAATTTCCATGATCCATTGACCAGCCTAGTGCTCTTCTAATGACCTCAGAACTGTGTTACTTTCTTAATTTTAATCTGCTCGGCTGCTGCTGTGACAGATCAGCAGTCAGAGGGGAGATAGAACAGTCTGCTGCAGACAGGGCAGATTAGATTCCGAAAGATAAGAAGAGTTCATAGGAGGGGAGAAAATACTTTTATCCTGGGAAAATGTTGAAGTGTTAGCCGTTTCCATCATGATGTCATTTTCCTCACTTTTTGCACATCTTATATCATTAGCCCAGATTTGTTGAGGCACTTACGTCTGTATAAATTAATTACTGAAAGTTCTGAAGAAGTTTTCATTGAAGTAGCTGAGAGTAAAAAACACAATTCAACACGATCTTTTGGATATTAAACTAAGTGTGAGGCGCATTTTGCCTTTTAATGCAAACCTTGTTTTGGTTGTGTCATGTTCTATAATGCTCCATCCCTGTATAAAAATTCTTGAAAGCATTTCTTTTCTTAAAAAAAAAACCCAGACATTCGAATACTTCTGTACAGTTGAAAGCAGGCGTTCTATTTGATCTTGAATTAAAATATGCAATTTAGTGCAGGATTTTGAAGTATGATAATTAAAAATCTGAACTTTGCATAAGGTAATCTCCAGCTGAGATTTCAGTTGGGGTTTTTAGACAGAATTCCATTTTCAGCTTTATGGCTCAATATGGGAACATAGGGAAACTTCAAAGGATGGAGAGAATGGGGCCATGCCCATAGCCCTTGCCCCATTTGTCTCTAACCTCTGTGCATTCAGACAGGAAATTTGAAGAAGAATGGTATCATATGTTCTGTGCTCAAAGAAAGCAGGATGCCCTTTGTCCTGTTTGAAGTGTTTCCTATAACTCTAGCACAAAATGGTCTTGGACACTAAAGCCAACCCAAAATGTAGAGCCTCGACATGTCATTCTGGTTTTTCCTATGTGATTGTTGATAATTTATTTGTTTGTCTGTTTATTAAGTTTAGATGCTGCCCATCTCACTATGAAGTGGCTCTGGGCAGCTTACAGTTCCATAAATAACATATTAAATAACAATTCAAAGGTTAAGAACATTAAAATATTAGGCACTGAAAGTAAAACATTAAAATTAACAACACAGCAGATAAAAGAACCAATACATAGATGGGGTAGAGATGGGATCTTCTCCTAATCTACTAGCCACCTCCAAAATGAGAGTTACCCATCAGGGTCCCAAGCGAGAGATAGATTTTTCAGACCCTTTTCAAAGGCCAAGAGGGTGGGGCAGGTCTCATCTTAATACTCCAAATATCATGTTTTAGGATCTTGTGCAAATCCAAAGCCTGTGTCACTCTTATCTGTGCAAAATGCCTTTTTTGTAGAATCCACCAAAATAGGCATGCATTATCACTGGCTACTTTTATCTTAACCAAATTTCTTTATCAGAAGAACTCCTTATTTTTTTTTTCCCCCAAACTTTGTGAACTCTTTGAAAATATAGTCTCAACAATATCATGTAGTTTATATTGTTTTTAAGTTATTTTAAATTAAATTGCATTTAGAAACAGTCAAATTGATAAATACTTAAACACACACAGTCCAAGTAAGAGACAAGGCACAAAAAGGCAAAACTTGCTTAGTGTTCCAAAATGCTGTATATTAATCCAGCAGCACGACTGTACATATGAAGCATTTTTTAAAAATTGAAATCCAGCAGTTACGTGCTGCTTTATAGGGAGGGGAAAAGAAAAATCTGGATTTAATCTGCATTTTCAAGAAGACTAATGTATCCTAACTGTCACTTGCCAAAAATATCAACCTACATAAATCCTGTCTCCTTTTTAAAAAAAATCCGTAATTAGAATCATTTAAACTTTTTTTTAAAGCTGCGGGTACTTTCTAAATATTCTCCAGTGGATCAGAAATGATAGAAAACTCTGTGATCCAAAACTTGCATGAGCTATTTGTATCCAAGTATGAATTAAATGGGAATTACCTATTGAAAAGCAAGTTGCTTGGAGAATGGGAATTTGGCTGGCACCTGTCATGACTATTTTTTTTTTGATAAAATGTTTAGGTTTTACAGCAACTACTTTGCAAACAAAATAGAATTGTTCATTTTAGAACCCATGGATTTTGAGAGCACCTGCAAAGATCTAATCATAAGACTTAATAATTTATTTTTATCTTCAACTACAAAGTACAAACATTACGTGTCTTGAATATATTGGGTGAATCAACTGGACCAGACTTTGAAAAGTCCATCTGCCTTCCCTTGGCAGCAGGAATGATATACACACAGTTTCCACTGTCCAAGCTTCTGGCTTTCTTAGCTACCTCCTGAGTTGTGAAATCTATGTCTCATTAGATGAACAGAACAACTTTCCAGAAGGAAACACCCCAACTGCTCAATTTCCTGTCCTTTCTCCATATTATTAATGGCATTCACCCCAGCAAGTCTACATGTTAAATGTTTGGATCAGTTCTGCCAAATTCAAAGCAGTCTGGCATTCTTGGCTTGTTATCATTATGCAGTTTTTCAGCAGTTTCCTTATTCAGATATAAATGTGAAAGAAAGTGAAAATATCCTCTTTTTTTAAAATAGCTTCCAAGGCCTCTACAGAAATCTCAGTAAGTGATTTTCTTTGTTTCATTCTGAAGAGAAAAAAGATAAATGACTGGTTTGCTGCTTCTTTATTACAAATGTCAAATATACAATTTTAGGATTTCCTCAAAGTGTTATTGTAACATGGTTGCTGCAGATCTCCGGTTTTCAAAGATCTTAGCTTCATTTCCTTAAAAGAAATGAAAGTCTAACCTTTCACCCTCCTTCTGTGTGTCAATCAGCCGAGGGTTATAGTGATTCTTG